GCAGCAGGACAAGCTGCAATGGGGATCACAGAGCAACAAGGGCCTCACGCCTCTACTGACGTACGTCCACGCTCAACCTCCCCACACACCTCAGACATGAGCTTCACTGATGGATATTCTACGGACTCCATACATCAATATAGTCCAACCACGCCGGATCCAAGACCACAGGCTCCAATGCCACTGCCATGGGAATCTCCCACAGTTCATTCTCCTCAACAGCCAAGCGATGACGACGCACCACGCGATGAGCAACACAACTTCCCGGAGGAGATACGACCCCTTAGACGAAGTGCACGAATTCTGGCCTATTCCCTTGCCACATCTACAACCCAACAAACACCTGAAGATTCCACATCTACAACACAACAAGCACCGGATGATTCTACATCTACAACACAACACACACCTAATGATTCTGCATCTCCAACACAACAAGCACCAGATGATTCCACTCCAGGGAACGTTTCCCCAGCCACCACTGATGGGGATCCTGATTATTGGGGTAAGATGCCTCTGCAAGAGTTCAACCAACTCCTGAGTGAGATGCAGCCTGCTCAAATCGCCGCCCGCAGGAAAGACAGACGCCGAGCTTTGGGCCGCATAGCAACAAGACTCCGTCAGCAGACGGGACAACTTCGCAGAGCACCCGCCAAGCAACATGACCTTCAACTCTTGAGAGAATGTTGTAACACCCTACAAAACCGCTGTGAGCAACTGGAGAAACGCTGTGAGCAACTGGAAACAGCAATGTACATCGTCCAAATTAAGTAACTGTTCCTCTAGGGATGGACATTTTTAGTCTCATCACTGGAAGTTTTTATATATATTTGTTTGTTATATGTAGTCAATTTATGCTTGCACAACATATTATAGCAAAAAAACAGCTCACGCACATAATCATTTCATGCACAGAAGTTTTGAGCTTGCTTAAACTTATGATAGCCAAAAAACAGCACACGCCAAAGTAACTAGTATGGATCCTTGTGCACACATGTACACATGTTGAACCGCTGAGTCTCGGGCGGTAGGCACTCTAATGTCAATGATTCCCCTTGACCAGAACGGACATATTTATTTACATTTTCCTTATTTCTCGTATTAAGATACAAGTGCTGTTTGGATCCGGATGCAGACATGTGTTGAACCAAAGATCATGGGTGGTACTTTTATTGTCACCTAATCCACACTTAACATGGCCTTGAAACTTAAGTTTCAGTGACACCCCATGATTCAAAAGCACTACTTCACTTAGTACATTGCCAAAATGCTGCACAACACAAGTCAAGTTGGAGGATCCACGTATTCAGCTCATTAGTGTGCTATCTACGTGTTGAACCAGTAATCACGGGATAGTAGGTCCCATTTATCTGTGCATTACAGTGTAGGTGATTGAATGTGCGGCCTCACAGCCGCAAAGGAGGGAAGTGTCGAATAAGGCCTAAAGATCATGTAGGCCTAAAGCCTAGATTGATTGCATAAGGCCTAAATCCTAGATTGATTGTTAGGTTCTTTTTCTATATTTATACACCTTATCAATGGTTTGCAATATGTTATAACTGCTGAGTGTTTAAACTACTGAGTGCTTACTACTGAGTGTATACCTACTGAGTGTTTAAAGAGTGAGTTCAAACTCATATTTTATTCTTATATTCTGTGTGTTTATCATACATTATTCCTATACTCTGTGTATTCATGAACGTGTGCTTTTTAATGAGCAGAGGAGCTGCTCAGGCCGCGCAGGCAAAACCTAGCCAACCGTAACCCGCTCATTAGAAGCAAGGCACATGCAGTAAGTCACGTACGCCAGGGCTGAGATCATCGCGAACTGAAGCCAAGAATGAGATCATGACATGTTGTGATTTATGGCGCCTGGTACGGCTAGGTACTGCATGCAACCAAGCTCTGCGCTGCTGAAAGTTAACTTGTATGAGACAAAGCACCCTCATGGTTGGCATTGCTAAATCATGTAATTGTTCATTGAATCACGTTATACATGTATGAAATATGTTATTCCTTATTAATTCTTTTAAAAATACGATTGTAAGTGTTTAAGTTTTAATGGTGTCAAACTATGCCTGTATAACTTTTAAAAAAATACAGTGGGACTGAAGTTGAAACATATTGGTGGATTTCTAAATCCAGTAGTGTAAAAAATATAAAGAGAGATAAATGGTAACAATAATTACACATAATAATAGTTAAAAAGTGGAAATTGTAACATTAATAAAAGGGTTAATTTTGTAAAACAGTACAAGAAAAAGGCCACTAGATGGCAGTAGAGGATAAGAAATCCACCAAAGGGGAGGAATGGTCAGCGAACACCATAGGTGGAGTTAAGGAGTAACGCCCACCTAGAAGGAGGAGATAAGGAGGAGTTAAGATGTAACGCCCACCTGAAGGGAGGGACAAGGTGGAGCTTAAGGTGAATATAAGGCGATGTTCGCTGACCACCAACTCGGTTCCATCCTGAGACCTGCAGGGATGTTGCTCGGGTTTATCTGTCCTTTATTGGAATAAACTCTTTTGCACCGACTCTTGACCGTCTCCAGTGAAGTTTTTGACTACGCCGTCTTTTGACTAAAGAAGAAATCTAATAGAGTAATTTTATTGAGTTTATTACGTTGGTTAGGGTAGGGACCAGGTCTTTTACTGGCCCGGCCGGTCCTTATTTCCGACCCGACAATTATTCCAGCTCTTGTGGCTATGCTGTGTGTGTGTGTGTGACTGTTTCTTGTTTTCATTTTTCTCTTAGTTGTTTTACTGCGTCAGCTGTTTATTGCTGCTGTTCATCTTTTACTATTATTATTATTTTTATTGTTTGTTTTTGTTTGTGTATGTTTGTTGTCATTTTTCTCCTCCCCAAGCCCCCTCTCTGTTCTATTGCAGCTTTTGTTGCTTTGTGTAATTGGTGTTTCCCTCTGCTATTCCCTGTTGTCCCCACCTTCCATCCCCCTTCTTTTGCAGGTGTTGTCCTTTGTCTGTGCTGTCTGTTTATGCCCCCCCATCCCCATGTCTGCCCCCCTGTCCGGTCTGGTAACAAATCAGTACATAATTAAATAAATAATAAAACAGACAAAGGAGTATATTAATACTCTCTTGTAAAAGTAAAATCTGTCTGGCACAATATGGTATCCAGCTCATCATACCAGGCTGCTGGGCACGACAGGTTTAAAAAAAAAAAAAAACGATGTGCGAGAAGCTAAAGGACTGTACTTCATCAATTCTCTGCAAATGACGCCATTTCTGTGTGGAGGGGGTTCAGACAGATCACTAACTACAAGATCCCCACTCCATCAACGACTCTCACTTGGCAAATGAGCTGAACCAGTACTACTGCCGCTTCGAGAGACAATCAGACACCATCCCCCGTGACTCTGCTCAGCTGTAGCCCCAGTCCACCATCTCATCCGCTCCCTCTTCAGAGATAGATGTCAGCAGACTATTTAGGAGACAGAAACCCCTCAAAGCACCTGGTCCGGACTCTGTCTCCCCATCCACCCTGAAGCACTGCGCCGATCAGCTGTCTTCGGTGTTCAAAGACATCACCTCACTGGAGACATGCCATGTGCCAGCCTGCTTCAAAGCCTCCTCCATCATCCCTGTCCCCAAAAAGGACCACAGGACTTAATGACTACAGACCTATCGCCCTGACCTCTGTGGTTATGAAGTCCTTTGAACGACTTGTGTTGTCCCACCTTAAATCCATCATAGACCCACTCCTGAACCTCCTACAGAGCCAACAGGACTGTAGATGATGCTGTAAACATGGCCCTTCACTTCATCCTTCAGCACCTGGACTCCCCAGGAACCTATGCCAGGATCCTGTTTGTGGATTTCAGCTCTGCTTTCAACACCATCATCCCAGCCCTGCTGCAAGACAAGCTCTCCCAGCTGAACGTGCCTGACTCCACCTGCAGGCGGATCAGACTTCCTGAAGGGACAGGAAGCAGCATGTGAAGAGGGGAAAACATGTCTCTGACTCCAGGACCATCAGCACCAGTTCACCTCAAGGCGGCATTCTTTCCCCTCTGCTCTCCTCCCAGTACACCAACAGCTGCACCTCCAGTCACCAGTCTGTCAAGCTCCTGAAGTTTGCGGACGACACTGCCCTCAGTGGGCTCATCTCTGGTGGGGATGAGTCCGCCTACAGGTGGGAGATCGACCATCTGGTGACCTGGTACAGCCAGAACCACCTGGAGCTCAACGCTCTAAAGACAGAGGCATTGGAAAGAGCCCAGCCCCGACCTCCCCCATCATCCTCTGTGACTCCCCAGTCACCACTGTGGACTCCTTCCGCTTCCTGGGCACCATCATCTCCCAGGACCTCAAGCAGGAGCTGAACATCACCTCCATCATCAAGAAGGCCAAGCAGAGGATGTAATTCCTGCAGCAGCTGAAGAAGTTGCCAAAGACAATGATGTTGCACTTCTACACCGCCATCATTGAGTCCATCCTCACCTCCTCCATCACCATCTGGTAAGCTGCTGCCACTGCCAGGGACAAGGGCAGGCTGCAGTGTATCATTCGTTCTGCAGGGTGATAGGCTGCAATCTTCCTTCTCTTCAGGACCTGTACGCCAGGACTCTGAGGCAAACAGGAAAGACTGAAGCTGACACCTCCCATCCTGGACACAAACTGTTTCCGACTCTCCCCTCTGGCAGGAGGCTGCAATACGTCTGCAAATAGAGGACACTTCCCATAACTATTTATTAATTTTTTTAACACAACTCTGACTTCCTTACAGATTTATTTTAATTCCCTTAAACTCACGCAATTATTTAATACTCAACATTTTTCTACAAAATAATCAGTTCACAGAGAGACCATGGTTTCTTCTGTATTTCTAGGTTTGTCACAGGAGCAGGCAACAGCAAAGGAAACTAGACTGCTGGCTGTTGAAGGCTGGCTATTGAAGACTGACGCTAAACTGGATTGCTAACCTTAAATCATTTTGAATGATTCAAAGTTTTCAAAATAAATTTCTGGGTTATAGCCCCAGAATGCAAGCTCTCATTTCAGCCTCTGTCTGAAACGAGCTGTAGATGCTCCTGTCTCTTCAAGACCCCCCACCCCTCCAAAAGCCCACTGTGTTCTGATCGACCAAGATCCTGAAGCAGGATGGTTATGCTGCCGAGTGGTACAGACAGACTGAGTGTAGGAGTTGCCAGGCTGAAAACGGTGCTGTCGTCAAGCTAAGCAACTAAACGCTATAGCTAGCGACCTAGTGTAGAGTGTTTGTTGGATACGTTGGTGCTCCACCTTGCAATTGACAACTCATTCTACTGAAATGTCGGATAATGGGGAGACAATGGAAGTGGAAGGTACGGTTGACAATCTTAAACGTGTGCATGACTATGCCAAACGACATCAGGCGGACCTGGAAGAAGGTCCAATGAAAACGGCGCAAGGAGCAGTCATGTTGGCCGCAATTAACAAGATTTCTGAGAAACTGGAAACCATAGAAAAGACAGTTTTCCAAAACTTGGAGAATATTCAAGCACTATCGATTTCTGTGAAAGCTACAGAGAAAACGGTTGGAGAGCTTTCATCAAGAGTGGACCCCCTGGAGCTCCAGCTTAATACTTTGACGGCTGAAAATAAGAAGTTGCTGGATAAAGTGAATGAGATGGATGCGTACTCTAGACACTGGAACATCTTCTCGTGTTTCTCCTGCTCTTGCTGACTTCCTGCAGAAGTCTATGGACATTGCTCACAGGCTGGGCCCACGCTCAAGGAAAGAAGGACCTCCACGCCGTATCATCGTCCGTTTCTCTCTCAGAGCATACAGGGATCAAGTCTGGGCAGACGCCAAAAACTGTGAGCATCTCAGGAGAATAAAAATATCGGAGGACTTGACGCAGCAGGTGAAGGATGCCAGAGCCAAGCTGTGGCCGCTGGTGGAGGAGGCTAGGAAGCAAAACAAGAGAGCAGGCTTTAGTGGTCATTGCTGGTAAGATGATCTCTGTAGAGGATCTCGCTTGAATTAACTGAGCAGAAGCACCTGTAATGGCAAAGTATGTAAGCTGTTTAATGAGCAAAATATGTTCATGTTGCCCTGGTATTATTCTTATGTGGAAAGAAAGATGTAGGGATATTTGTTTTGGGTTTTTTTTCCATTTCATAGAGGGATATCCTCGAGTCTTTAAGTATATTCATATTTCCTTATAAGCAGGTACTGTTTACATTACTACCATTAGGCTATTTATACTTGCATCACCATCCCTACTGATGAAAAGGTGAATCTATGGATATTCCTCATTGGTTACATTTGTTGACCTGTTACTTCTGGGTCAGTTCTTTAATGTTCACTTAGCGTAAAGGTTGGCCTTTTGAATTCAGGTCTTGCACATCTCTCTCAACCTAGTTCAAATCTAAAACTACTGTTCAAGTAGTATTACTCATATTTGTGTTGTTCTTTTGTGTGTTCATGTCTAGTCTTAATTTTTCTTGTTTTTCTCTTAATGTACAGGAAGTAAGAGACTTAACTAAAAGAAAGGCTTTATTCTTATTTCTCAGTTATCAAAATAAGGATGTCTAATTTTTACAAGAAACTCATTCTTCTTCAAAAGATGAATGTTTTCTGCATTGTGTCTGTCAGTGTATTAGTGTTTGTGCGTGTGTGTGCTGTGTCTGTCAGTGTATTAGTGTGTGTGCGTGTGTGTGCTGTGTCTGTCAGTGTATTAATGTGTGTGCTGTGTCTGTCAGTGTATTAATGTGTGTGCTGTGTCTGTCAGTGTATTAATGTGTGTGCTGTGTCTGTCAGTGTATTAGTGTGTGTGCGTGTGTGTGCTGTGTCTGTCAGTGTATTAGTGTGTGTGCGTGTGTACTGTGTCTGTCAGTGTATTAGTGTGTGTGCGTGTGTGCTGTGTTGTTGTGAATTATTTTGGAGCATTTTAGGCTAAATTGTTATCATTTATTACTAGAGCAATGGTGGTCTACATTGTCATCATTTAAAGTGTTATTTTATAGTGTAAAGTTAGGATCACAGTGTTAAACACAGACACATTATGATAATAAAGGAAATTTAGTTCAGAATAACAGGCTGAAGACACTTTTTGGTTGAGGAGAAGGAACAAAACTAGAAAAATGATGACATCTGATAAAGTTTGCAAATTTATTGAAACAATGAAGTACAGATTGATAAGCAGCAATGTGAGGTGTTATCTAGGAAGGATTTAAGTTAGAGAAGGGATTGAGAGCCATCAATTTTGTATTAGATGCGAGAAAATCAATTTGATATTTTAATAGTTGTTAGTTTCACTGAAGTTAGTTATTTTTAGTAAACTCTGCGTTGATGATTTTTCAGTTGAATAGCTCTTTGATATAAAAAGAAGGGGAGCTGCCTGAGTTTCTTTCAATGAATTGTTTCATTCTAGTTTCTTGGTTGTGTGGCTTGACAATTAACTGTCTTTTTCTTTTTCGAGGCATGAATGCCGTCCAAATTCCAAAGTTTCCAGAGAGTAAGTGTTTGCTCGCAGTGAGTGTGCGATGGCTGTCCTGGGAGGCAAACATCAGGTGAAATTAAATGGTAGTAGTAAGTAGTGTGGTGTCCGAACGATAATGCTGCGATGATGTGTTGAGAAGAAATCCGCTTGACACTGTTCTTGATTATAAAAGTTTATTACATCAAAGAATTCAGCATCAATTACAAGCTCTGCAGCAGCTTGGAGAGTGACCCAGCCCGATGGCCACTCTGTCTCTCTGTACATCGAACACAGCTTATATAGGACATGTTTAGGTCTCTGCTAAAAACCATATAAGGGCACAGTCCCTTCATACACACTAATCTCTACTCCCCCTACCACTGGGTCAGAGGTCAAATTCCATAGAAGGGTTCACTCTTTGCACACCCATCAATCATTACTTCCCCATAAGGGTTCACTGTTCCTCTCACCAGCTGCAGAGCATTATGTTAAACTGTAATGGTCAAATGCACATATGTTATACACCACAGTAGTTAAAGATAAAATAAAAGACGTCAGATAAGAGATAGAGAAAGCTCAGAATGAAGGGAAAATAGGGAGAAAAAACTGCAACATCTGCTGAAAAAGAACTGTTTGAAGACTGACCTCACAAGAGTTTGGGAGTAGGAGTGTTGATAATTTGTAGGAGAAGAACAGAATAAGGTTAGCTCAGGATCTATAAAATAGCAAGATATGTCATTAATAATTGATTCATTAACACAAATATACTGAGTTAATAACTTTGGTGTCCTGCTCTCCTCCAGCAGCCACCTGTTACTAAATTTCAGCAAAAAGGGATCAGAACATCAGGCATTCCTTGTGTTTTTAAACAGAGTTTTAGAAAAAGGGAATCTAGTGGGATTATTTTTATATTATAACTGTTAGAGATCACTGTCTGCTCTGGATTTGTGCAGAGGAACAGCCAGCGCAGAGCTCCTCGATGTAGCAAATACAATGACAGGCAACCTTTCAGGCTTGATTTTAAAGAGGCCGAAAGGAGAAGCCTCATTGAAGCCTTTATAAAGCAATTTCAGCAGCACATTGCTACTGCATGCTTAAATTGATGATTGTGAGTATCAAATCATGACTGACCGTTGTCATGTATTCCACAGGAACAACCAAGCAACTGTAATGATAACCTGAGACACATGTGTGATGCTGAAAACCTGAGTTAATGTATGTTTTCTTTCTGTTTTTGTTGAACATCTGTGTTAATCTATGTTTTCTTTCTGTTTTTGTAGGTATTATTAGTAAACTAATTTGAAGTATGGAAGAATTGTAGTGCACTAATGAATAATGGAGTGTTTCAAGATTTACTATTTGTACGTCCAATAGCAATGTAATTCAATACACAGATATACAGGATGTTAGAGGGGTTAAATTGCAAGCAAATATAATATCTAGGAAGCAAACTCATGTTGAAAAAGATTGATATTTTACTCACAGATAGAAACAATAGTTAAAGTCTCCAAACTACAAACAGTAGGATAAAGCTCACTTATTGGTAATAGTAACAAGTACAGTTGCAAGAAAGCTTAATAATCCTTCACAGCCAGTCAAAGACCAGAGGAGGCCACTCTCCTATGAGGCCTCGTGAGGCAGACACAGCAGCAGGCAAGATCAAGCGCGACCTGCACCACCACAGAGGCAACTTTGACTATCACCAGCTATGAGTCCAAGTGAACCAGCAAAAGGAAGAACAAGACTGAAACTACAAACGACTGAGCGCCCTCAAATTGGTACCCAGTCTGTTCCCCAAGAAACCTGAGTGCCAAAAAAGAGTTCCACAGTACCATGGACTAAACTTTCAAAATGGACATCATACATGTTTATTGGACATTTTGCACCATTCTGAAGTGTCACATGAATGATTGTTGAAACACTGTTATGTCTGGAAAGTTCACTATGTACCATGTGATTGTTTTGATGATGTGTGCCTTTCAACACATTAGGTGTTGTTATAATTGTTAGCTTGCTAAAGTATATAAGAAAAGAACAGCTCACTGCATAAGATATTATTTGTTTCACGAGTGTAAACCATTTACAAGGTATATCTCACTATATTATAGCACGTATAGGTAGTTTAATATGTTAAGCTCATTTAAAGGGAAACTCATTTAAAGGGTAATAAGGAGAGAGGAGTAATGGAAATCCTTGTCATTATAACTTGCTCAAATGTGTTAGAAACAGGAACATCCCACCGCATGATTATTGATTATTTCACAATGTGTAAACACTAATTTGGGTATTTTCTTGAAGGTCTACAAGTCTGAGAAATAGGTTTCATATGCCAAATGCAATAGGCCGCCTATTTTCAGTGGTCACAGTGTTGGTGTATGAAGTGTGAGGCTTTACAGCCTCAGAGGAGGGAGTGTTGTGAATTAATTTGGAGCATTATAGCCTAAATTGTTATCATTAATTACTAGAGCAATGGTGGTCTACATTGTCATCATGTAAAGTGTTATTTTATAGTGTAAAGTTAGGATCACAGTGTGAAAACTCTACAACTCTGAGTGTGTGTGCTCCTTTCTGTACTGCCCAGGCACACGTTTGTGTGAGCAAGCTCATGTGCTTTGGGAGAAAAGGGAGGGAGCACAGTGAGGCAGCATCAAAAGCCTGCAAAGGAAAATATAGAAGCAGATTTTGTGCAAATTGTATTACAAAACATACATCAATATAGTCCATCACAGTAAGAATGTCCTGTTTCTAGCACGGAGCACAAACAACACCAGTTTATTCCACAAAAGTCAGGTTATGGATGAAATGGCATGATCAAGTGCATGCAAAAGACACAGAGAGGAGGAGCAGGCAGTCAGGGACTTTCCAAGACTCAGGTGCAGTAGGAAAGAGAGCCAAGAGATGATGTGAAGCCAAGAAACAGAGCTATAAAAGGAGGTCCAAAAGGAGGTTAAAGTCAGTCGTTACATGGTTTTCATGTCGACTCGGGTCTCTGTTCTGGTAACAGAATGGGGCTCTATTTTGCACAGATCTCTGACACACTCCGGTGGAACTTTTGTATTCTAATTGGTGTCTGTTTTTGTTGATAATAAAAATGTTGGTAAAGGTTCAAGCTTTCTTATCTGGCCAAGTCTTGAATTTTTACACGACATTAGTGTCTGTCAGTGTATTAGTGTGTGTGCGTGTGTGCTGTTTCTGTCAGTGTATTAGTGTGTGTGTGTGTGTGCATCTGCATTGTGTCTGTCAGTGTATTAGTGTGTTTGCGTGTGTGTGCTGTGTCTGTCAGTGTATTAGTGTGTGTGTGTGTGTGCGTCTGCATTGTGTCTGTCGGTGTATTAGTGTGTGTGCATGTGTGTGCTGTGTCTGTCAGTGTATTAGTGTGTGTGCGTGTGTGTGCTGTGTCTGTCGGTGTATTAGTGTGTGTGTGTGTGTGCGTCTGCATTGTGTCTGTCGGTGTATTAGTGTGTGTGCGTGTGTGTGCTGTGTCTGTCAGTGTATTAGTGTGTGTGTGTGTGTCTGTCAGTGTATTAGTGTGTGTGTGTGTCTGTCAGTGTATTAGTGTGTGTGTGTGTGCGTCTGCATTGTGTCTGTCAGTGTATTAGTGTGTGTGCGTGTGTGTGCTGTGTCTGTCAGTGTATTAGTGTGTGTGTGTCTGTCAGTGTATTAGTGTGTGTGTGTGTCTGCATTGTGTCTGTCAGTGTATTAGTGTGTGTGTGTGCGTCTGCATTGTGTCTGTCAGTGTATTAGTGTGTGTGCGTGTGTGTGCTGTGTCTGTCAGTGTATTAGTGTGTGTGTGTGCGTCTGCATTGTGTCTGTCAGTGTATTAGTGTGTGTGCGTGTGTGTGCTGTGTCTGTCAGTGTATTAGTGTGTGTGTGTGTGTGTGTGTGCGTGTGCTTTGTGTCTGTCAGTGTGTTCATGTGTGTGCGTGTGTTCAGTGAAGAGGACACAGACAAGGTGTTCAGAAAATAGCTTAACTTCCGTCCACCAATCAGAACAGAGGACCCAGTCCTTTGTTCTTTAATCATCTACGTCACCAAGGTAACCAGCTCTACAATAGAGACAGATAGGAAAACTTTCTGTCAAACAAACCTCACCAGAGATTAAACTATAGGTTGTATCGGCAAAATGACCTGACCAGCAGCAACAGAAGGCATTTGTGAACGATGTGATATATTTTTTGTGTGGATAAAGTAAAAAACAAAAGTGAGCTCTTCTGCGAGTTAAAAAACTGGTATGTTCTGCTCAGCTCCAGACATTTTGACACAAATTTATAATACATAACACAATATTAAAAAAATCTTCACATTAAACTAAGATTCTAAAGTTTCTAAGTTTCTAAAGAGTTGTGCACAGAAGGAGTCATGTGCATTGTGTTAGTTTCCTTTGCTGTACAAGGCAGGAGACTTTTTCATATTGTGGCCAACATGGACGTCGTTAACATGGTCCTAAGCCCCCCCAAATTATAATAACAAAATAATTATTAGATTTAGATTTAGATTTTTTCTGAGGGAGGCTGCCTTTCATCGCTGCTCTGCGGAGCTGCCAAGCAATGTTACTACACAGAGAGAGAGACACAACAACACACGGACATGGTTAAGGACGATTCAATGTGGTGAGTGATACAGAGTGAAACTGTAAGTTGCTGTAATGACTGTTACTTGCTGAACTTAAGATACGTTTACTTGAGATAAAAGAAAGGGTATAATTTAGTTGGCTATGGAAAACACTAGCTAGTGTGAAGCCATTAATATTAACTATCTGTAGTAGCCTATTTCAAAAAGTAGACTTGGAGCCAGAGCGTTCAGCTATCAAGCTCCTCTCCTGTGGAACCAGGTTCCAGTTTGGGTTCAGGGGGCAGACACCATCTCCACATTTAAGAGTAGGCTTAAGACTTTCCTCTTTGATAAAGCTTATAGTTAGGGCTGGCTCAGGTGAGTCCTGAACCATCCCTTAGTTATGCTGCTATAGGCCTAGACTGCCGGGGGATTTCCCATGATGCACTGAGCTCCTCTCTCCTCTACTTTCTCTCCCTCTGTATGCAACCTCATCCCATTATTGCATGTTACTAACACAACTTCTCCCCTTTCCGGTAGTCTTGTGCTTTCTCGTCCCTCTCCTCTCTCCTATCACTTCCTGCAGGTGTTTCTGGCTCTGGAGCTGTGGAGTCTGGATCTGTGGTTGCGGGTCACCTGCTGCCCCCGTGTTCCTGCTCGACACCCTCTGCTACAACAACTATTGTTACTAGTCCTATTATTATTATTGTTATTATAATCATTAACATTACTATAAATATCTCTACCATTTTTCATTCAGTCTATAGCAACATTGAATTGAAAAAAATCTCCTTTCCTAACCACCTTTCCTTGACCTCGATGGAAAACGCCATGAGGTCAAGGAAAGATGTGAAGGAGAATGTTGCGGTGGCAGCCCGGCTGACGGTGAGTGCCCTGTGCTCTTTTGTTCCTTTTTTACTTCGTCTCGCATTTCTGTTTTCTCCCCCGTGTCTCCTCGCCTCTCCCTCTGTGTGTGCTCTCTCCCTCTCCGCCCTGGAGCCTGGCTGATGACCCGCACCTGTGTCTCATCAACCTCCACCTCCGCCCGCCACACCTGCCTGCCATCAGCCTCATCTTCAACAGTATTTCTACCCCGGTTCTCCACTCCATCTTCGCTTGATCGTCGTCGCTCCAGTCCTGGTGCCACTTCTATGTTCCAAGCTCTCAGATACCTTGTTCCCTAACTTGTTGTCTCCCGAGACTAACCCTGTCTTTTCTTTCTCCCTGCCAGGTCCACTCACCTCCGCCATCCAGTTAGTCAGCCGGGCTTGCCTACCTGCCTTCTCCCCTCGCCTCGGCCTCCAGCCCCCTCTCAGTCGCCTTGCTCGAGCCTTGCCAGCCCCGCCTGCTCCTCGGCCCTCTGTGCCCACGTCTGCCGGCGTCCTGTTCACCTCATCTCACCTCCCGACTCCCCTTTTTCCCTCAATAAACCTCTTTTGTAAACTGACAAGCGTTGTGTTTGGGTCTGTTCTGTCCGCAACCATAACAGAGAATCCGTAAAGGTCTAAGAGAATCCGACTTTTCTCTTTTCTAAGCGACGTAATTAGGCGACGGCGGATTTTACTTACGTGACCTGCCGTGATGAAACAAAAATGATCTGAAAATGGACTACAAAAAGCGCATCTTTGACACTGCGCCCCATGTTGTTGTAATGCAGGCCATCTAAAGGTGGACAACACGGTGAAATATATTACTTAATAACCAAGATAGCAAAAAGGCAGATAAGGTAGCCTACTAGTCACTAAATAAAGGACAGAGTTGTCACATTGAGAATGCTTGCTCACACTAATCCTCCTGCCCACCCATAGTCGTATTTATCAACATGAATCCCAACTGCCACAGAATGACAGCGTAACTGTGCCGAGAGAGAGAGAGAGAGAGAGAGAGAGAGAGAGAGAGAGAGGGAGGGAGCGACGGAGCGAGAGGAGATACTGAGAGAATATGGGCTGTGCAGCGCTCTGTCATCAAATACAATTTTACCCATTTTAAATAGTAACAAAGTCAATCGAAAATCAGTGTTGATAATGTGGCAGGCCGCCACAAATAAATCAGTGTGTGAGAAACGCCTACTGTAGAGGTTATCCAGCTTGATTTTTGCCTTTATGAAGGCGAGTGTGTCAGCATCTGTGACTGAAGTAAAATTAATTTGCTGAAGGCTGCAGTACATAACGTGAGGCTACACGCTGCAACATTATCCTGACTTTGATCAGGTTACAAGACCAGTAACAGCTCGCATGGGTCTCAGTTACTGTTGACAGTTTAAGATATATGCATATTAGCAAGTTATGGCATAAGAGAGAAAAGGCTTAATAGCCAATGGTAACTTACATGGTGATCAGCCTCCTTTATCCATCATGGTTGGTGAATTATTTTTTTTTATTGTAGAAAACACTTAATGGCTTATTTCAACAACCCAAAACATAAAACGGTGTTGAAACAGTATCAGATTACAAAAAAAGCCAAAAGAAAGAAGGTAAGTGTGAGTCTTATTAAAGTATCATCATGTGCATCTGTATTGCAAGGATCTTGCTAAATGTGGTTGATGGATTTTATCATTTGAGTTTGAGAACGTGCACCGCTTTAAATGTTGCCGCCGCAAGGAATTGTGGGACGGCATTCTCTCCTTTCCTTTCGTAAAGGATGGTCAGGTTTACCCTATGCTAAAGGAGATATGAAAGGAAGCATTGAGGCACCTTTCCTTAGCTGTTAGAGAATTCAAACAGCTCTTATCATGGCTGCCACTGAAATACTTCTGGTTCACTTCACTCAATTAGGAACCTTCCTAAGCAAAAAAGACTTTTCGAACGCAGCCGAAATGGGCCCGGTGGCGCTGTGTGTCCGTAGTCGGCTATTGTAGAAATGACACAATACTGCGACGTCCATAGAAGGGGGTGCCCGCGGTTATGTAGATATAAATGGCTCATTCTAAGGTAATAAAAACTTTATTATTATTACACACCACTGAAAACATAGTTATGGATATTATATTGCATTTCTGTCAATATCCAACAAAGGTTGAGGTTAAGGGCAACTGGACTTGGTGGAAGAAAAACTAGAATACGTTTTGTCCCTCATCCAAGAGACTTCTTCAGTTCTGACTGACTGGTATGGAAACTCAGCTATTTAAGCTCTGTGGGATCGTTTGCTAGGATCGACCTGGTTTGTTAGTGTTCCTGGCTGTGGTAACAACAGTCGTCATGGTCATTAGAACCACAAACAATGAATGACCATTGTTGGTATCTTCACCTGAGGCCAAGACAAAGTGCTTGTTCAATTTCCTGGGAAGTGATGAAAACATTGTAAGTGGGTGATAAGTGGTGGCGTGGTGTAAATGGCTTACTTGACACCTCATTCAAACCATCCATCTTCTCTGTCTAAAATGTGCACCTGGTGGTCCTCAAACGAGTGTCCTTTATCCTTCAGATGTAAGTAAACTTCTGAGTCTTGACCTGAGGAGTTAGCCCTTCTGTGTTGAGCCATGCGTTTGTGTAGTGGTTGTTTAGTTTCCCCAATGTACAGTTCTGTGCATTCCTCACTGCATTGGATCACATATACTAGATTCCTTTTCTTGTGTTTGGGTGTGCAGTCTTTGGGGTGTATCAGTATCTGTCTTAGTGTGTTCTTGGGTTTAAAAAAAACAGAGATGTGGCGTTTGTTGAAAATCCTCCCTGAGTTTCTCTGATACTCCAGACACGTATGGAATCACAATATTCTTGCATTTGACCTTCTTGTCCTCATCCCCTGTAGTCTTGGTCTTCTTCCTGGATTTGGCTGTTTTCACAAAGGTCCATTTAAGGTATCCACAGGCTGTAAGTGCCCGCTTCAGGTGGTTCTGTTCCTTCTCTCTGGCTTCTGCATTTGTTGGTATGTGGTCCTCTCTATGTTGCAGGGTTCTGATGACTAGCTTGTGTTCCAGTGGGTGGTGGGAATCAAAAAGCAAGTATTGGTCCGTGTGTGTGGGTTTCCTGTAAAACCCAATTTGCAGGCTCCTGTCCTCTTCAATGTGTACAGCACAGTCCAGGAATGCCATACTGTTGTTGTGGACATCTCGTGTGAACTTGATGTTACTATCCACGGAGTTGCACTTCCTGGGTTTTAATTTTGACCCAAGTGTCATCCACATATCTGTACCAGTGGCTCGGTGCTGTACCTTTGAAGCAGTTGAGGGCTTTTCCCTTCACATCTTTCATGTAGATGTTAGCCACAATGGGTGACGCTGGTGAGCCCATGGCACAGCATACTTTTGTCTGTAGAATCCTCCATTGTACTGGAAATAGGTGTTGGTCGGGTAATTTATAGATCTGGTCAGGGCTGACACTGGTTCTGCTGTCCAGGGTGTTGTCTTTTAGTAGGATTCTACTGCCTCCATGGCGGGGATGCACAGGTGAACAAAGAGGTCACATTATAGGACACCATGATTTATCTGGGTCCAGTTTCAGTCCTCGAACTTTGTTTACAAAGTCAATGGAGTTTTGGATATGGTGGGGCGTGTTACCAACCAAAGGGGCTAAGATGGTAGAATGTGTTTGGCAATGTTGTAGGTGACCGAGTTGATGCTGCTGATAATCGGCCTGAGTGGGGCTCCTTCTTTGTGTATTTTGGGTAGTCCATATATGCAAGGATTGGCTTCTCCAGGATGCAAATGGTAATACTGTACCTGGGTGATGGAGTTTTCTTTCTGAAGTTAGGTAAGATGGTGATGTTTTGATCCTTGCTCAGTGATGATACGGCTTTTCTTTCTTGTATGGTGAGGTTTGAAGGGGGGCCTTTGCATTAGAAAGGGCTGCCGATACCTTTAGCCTGAGCTGTTCTGCTTCTGTTTCGGTTAATTTGTTTTTCCTAATGGCCGATTCTGTAGCTGTGATGAGGTCCACTATAGGTAGTTGCTGTGGTGTGATGGCAAAGTTTAATCCTTTGGCTAAAACTTCTTACTCTGGTTTGGTGAGTTCCCTATCTGACAAGTTTTTCACCCATCTGTTATCTGTTTCCCATGTTGTAGGGTAGTCATCCTTATCCTCCAAGACAATTCTCCTGTTTTGTTTGCATTTGCATTGCTGACTCTTGCCTGTAGGTTTTGGAATTTTTGGGTCTGTCTTTTCTTGCTCGTGTTGTGTTGAGATAACTGTGCTTTCTTGAAGAAATGCATGGCCTTTTCCAGTACTGTACTGGGCGGATGTGTTTCAAGTTTTTGGTGTAAGTTGCCTGATTCCTTGTTCAGGGCTTCAATGGTGAAATGGATCTGTCTCACTCTCTCTTTCAGTAGCTGGTGTTGCCTTCTCTAAGATTATATCTGCTCTCTGTCCTTTCACCGTGGAGCTTAAGTGTAAGCTGTTGGGTAGGATTTTGTATTGTCGGCATCTCAGGTTAAATCTTAGGTGGTTTCTGTTGTTTGAATTTCCCCTGGCTATCCTTTCCTGGCTAGCTATTTACACTTGGGGTGAGAAGCTGTCGCTGAACAGAGAAGGAGGTCTACGCCACCACTTATCACCCACTTACAATGTTGTCCTTTCATCACTTCCCAGGAAACTGAACAAGCATTTCCTCTTTGCCTCAGGTGAAGATGCCAACGATGGTTGTTCAGACTTGGCCACGGGTGGTTCTAATGACCATGACAACTGTTGTTACCACAGCCAGGAGCACTAACAAACCAGCAGTATCGATGATCCTAGCTAACAATCCCACAGAGGTTAAATAGCTGAGTTTCCCTACCAGTCAGTCAGAACTGAAGAAGTCTCTTGGATGAGGGACGAAACATCTTCTAGTTTTTCTTCAACCAAGTCCAGTTGTCCTTGACCTCAACCTTCGTTGGATAACTATGACCTGGATGACAGAGAACCTTCACAGACATTTCTGTCAATAAATCCTCAGAAATATAACACACTGAACCTTTAAAGCTATTCCAATGTTTGGGTGTGTGTGTGTGTGTGTGTGTGTATTGTTCTATTTTTTTGCAGTTTATGACATGTAAACAGGCTGGTTGTCCATGGACTGCGCAAAAAAAAAGACCAAACAGCTGGCAAAGTACTATTCCATTTCAGCAGTCACATGGAGCAGGGGCCAATTGGTCATCGAGCATTTCTGGCACATGTCAGATTATAGTAACATCAGTGTTTCTAACACATAGGCTTTACTTGGGCGGGCCAATCAGGTACAAAACGGCCGGCCAAGTTTATTTGGCAACCCCTTTATGCACTTTGCAGAGAAACACAATAGATGCTATGTATTAGCCCTACGTCATAAGATGCAGACACGGTGGATATTTCCCAAGCACGGGAATTTTGATTTAACTGGGTTTCAGTTTCGATAGGCTTCCTTATTAACAACAAGCCTCCTCTGCACACCTGTAGCTGAAAACGGTATCACAGGTGGAAATCGCAAGTGCTGTGTCATTTCATCCACTTTATAAAACAGCCCACTGAAGATTGGAAAAGTCAACAGGGCCGACACATACTGGGAGAGAGAAAGAAAGAGGTAGGGCAAGCTGCTGTGTTTATAGCACAGGTGTGTTGTGTGGGAATATTAAAAGGCAAAGAGAGCAGATTCAAGTAGGCTAGTGAGTAAACCCTAAAATAAAGGTGGAGAATTAAGTACAATTAAAGCTGCAAGCAGCGTTGGGCGGGCCCTCGCACTTGTAGCGCGTCCGGGTGCGACTGTGAATTTGCTACACGGTTCAGACGCCGCATGTACTTGTTATATGTCACTTCCTGTGTCCCCTATGTGGAGCTACATAGCACTTGCCGCTATGTATATAAATGGGTATTAGTGTGTAGATGTCTGCGGGGTGGGAGATTTATCAAGCACGTAAAGTTTGGTTCAGATGTGAGCATGTACATGTAAGTTACAACAACTTCCTGTGTCATGGCGAAGAGTTGATCTTTGACGCCACGCCACGGACACAGCCATTGACAAAAACTCACAGATAGCACAACTTTTCATCTTCAATGCCTTTAGAAGGCACAGCACAAATTTGAAGTCGGTCGGACTAAATCCCTAGGAGGAGTTCGTTAAAGTACGAAGTGTGTAAATCATCCAAAATTTGACGTAAAATTCAAAATGGCCGACTTCCTGTTGGTTTTAGGGCATCACTCCAAGAGGCTTTTTTGTGCGTCTGGACAAGATACACGTACTACAGAAAATTCGTGCACGTACGGCGGGGGCTGCTTCGTTAAAAGTCAATTCCTGTTGCCAGCAGGTGGCGCTATGACTGTGGGTGAATGTCAGCATGTACATGTGTTCAGGGCGGGACTCTCATCCTACATGTACAGTTTGGTGCAGATGTGAGCATATACACTGAAGTTACAACAACTTCCTGTGTCATGGCGAAGAGTTGAGCTATAGTATAGAGTATGTTGTCTCGTATACTGTAGTAATATGTAATATGTGTCTTGTCCTGTAAGTTGATTATTGTAATCTTGTATTGAGCACCATGGGCCTTGAGAAACAGCAATTTGTTCATTTGTGTACTCGATATGTGGATGAATGACAACAAACTAACTTTACAGCAGCCAAATATCCTGCTCAGCTTCCAGACCGCAGTCTGAAGATGAGATGTTTGCTATCACTAACTGCCTTTCTAGCAGTTGGAAAACAACAGACAGACTTTAATTAATGGACACACTGTGACCTACACTGTACATTTACAGCCAGGCTGAAACGTAGCGCTCATGTTTTCCTCCTCATTTTCACCGTCTCCTACTGCTGCCTGTCACGTAGCTGTCATTTGAAGAATGACCAGAGGACGCTCGCTAAGCGCTACCGTGCTTCACAGTGTGCGGATGAAAATTATTAATGTGAGTTATTTGATTAATTTTATTCATCATGTGAAATTTTAGTAGCAGCTGTCACTCAATCAACAACTGCCTGTCATTGGCTAAACAGGAAGAACCACACGTCTCCGTTGTGTGCACCGCACAGACGGTCCGGAGCTGCACTTCCGCTGAGTTCCGCCTTTTTGTTCTGTCAATATTATGTTATCAATTAACCTCTAGATAATCAATTATTGACATTTGTGAATCGATTCATAATCGTTCAAGTCCGCATCGCAATGCATCTAAAAATCAATTATTTTCCACACCCTTAATGTTTTTCCATCTATTGTCAACCGCTTATCCTGTGTACAGGGTCGCTGGAGGACTGGAGCCTATCCCAGCTGACATTGGGCGAAAAGCGGGGTACACCCCGGACAGGTCGCCAGTCCATTGCAGGGCCACACATAGACAGACAACCACTCACACTCACACCTAAGGACAATTTAGAGACACCAATTAACCTAGCTTGCATGTCTTTTGGATGGTGGGAGGAAGCCGGAGCACCTGGAGAGAACCCACGTGGACACAGGGAGAACATGCAAACTCCACAAAGAAAGGCCGGGGCAACCAGGGTTTGAACCCACGACATTCTTGCTGTGAGGCGACAGTGCTAACCACTGCACCACCGCGCCGCCCCCCCAAATGTTTTTAAGGAAGAGAATTGCTTTCTTTTCCCTTGAAAACTGTACACCCATGATGAAGTGTGATCAGCTTGAATATGCTGGACTGTTTCGATTCCTGATGAAATTTGACTGTATTGTGGAATCAAATAAAATGTGTGTGTGTGTGTGTGTGTGTGTGTCTGTGTGACTCACCCACAGGCATTAGCTCCACCACTAGTTTAGGGTAGGCGATGTTGGAGCAACCAACTGAAGCTCCACACACACTCTGGCACTCTGCTGGAGCCACACAACCTACCTCATCTACAAACACACACAACCACAAAGAAGAGAATAAAACATGTAAAACCTTAGGGGCATATAAAGGGGCAATCACTAAGACTTTTCTCTGTCAAAATACACAACAACCAGAATTTATCTTCATTTCACCCACAGGCATTAGCTTCACCACTACTTAAGGGTAAGCAATGTTGGAGCAATCAACTGAAGCTCCACACACTCTGCTTCAGCCACACAACCTATATCATCTGTACATACTGTACAAGACCAGGGTTGGGGAGTAACAGATTACATGTAACGGCGTTATGTAATCAGGATACAAAAATAAAGTAACTGTATTCCGTTACATTACAGTAAATAAAGACGTAATCAGATTACAGGTACATTTTGTAAAAACAGGGACTACTCACAGGGATTACTTTAAGCAGAAAGTTTCCATGAAACAGAAAACGGAGTGCTATTTGCTATTTCCATGTATGTTTCCTGTAAAAACACAAAGCTAGGGAGGGATTTGTTGCAGTGTGTGCGGACTGGTTCCAGTTCCCAGTGAGTGAAAACAGCCTGAGACCGTACACAGGCTCCGAGACCGACGGAGGCCAGTCTGACCACTGGGAATGCAGTACGAAGGTGGTTTTCTTGCCGGTTTGTCTCTTGTCATCTCAGGGCTGAGTCAACTAATGAGACTGTGTTTGGTCCTGTTCATGCCGTGTTCACTTGGAGGCTGCTGAGCGCAGTTTCGTTGCCCAGCAATCATTCCAAACCTCCAGTGCTTGAATAAAGGTGTAAACCTAAACACACACTCCAGTGTTCTGAGCTCCCAGTACAGGCAGAGTAAGCTAATTTGACCTGTAGCTGCAGGTAAACTGAGCTAATTACATAATGGCAGCTAGTTAACTGACTTGCTACACCAACAAGTAAAGCTATCTGTCCATCAGGGGAGACAGTAAATCACAGGGTTGAGGCAGAGCAGCCGGGAAACATCTGGAAAAACCAGAAAATATTTTCCATCAAATATGATCCAGTTTCAGTAAAATCTGTGAATAAAGTTGTGCTTTTGTTCAGTAATCAGTGATGCCCATCCCAGAAACACTATTTTTCCCCAATGCAGGTTGATCATACTTTTCATGTTCATACTTTTCACTTGGCCAACATTTCTAAAAATCCTTTTTTTGTATTGGTCTTAAGTAATATTCTAATTATCCGAGATACTGATTTTGGGGTTTTCATTAGTTGTCAGTTACAATCATCAAAATTAAAAGGAATGAACACTTGAAATATATCAGTCTGTGTGGAATGAGTGTATACATTATACAAGTTTCACTTTTTGAATGGAATTACTGAAATAAATCAACTTTTTGATGATATTCTAATATATGACCAGCACCTGTATATTGTCATTAAGAATACCTACAAAACAACAGGGGGCCAGATCCTGCCATATGACGTAGAAGAAGAAGAAGAAGAAGAAGAAGAAGACATACTTTATTAATCCCACAAGGGGAAATTCAATGTTCTCACTCTGGTGTTATTATTGTTATTAGTATACACACAGGTCTGAAATACTCACACATACACATGCAACAACACACAGAGAGATGTCAGAGTGACGGGTCTGCTACTGGGGTGCGCAGTGCCCAGGAGGTGAACTGTCACCTCTCCAGCTACCACGCCACGCTCCAGAACTCTGGTCCGAGCTGGACTCGAATATGGCCTAATCCTTACGGACTGAGCTACTGTCGCCCCAAAAGGGAGGGGGAAGGGGATATTTGTTCTCTGCATTTAACCCCTTAACGCCTGAATTTTTTTATGATCAAAAAATAAAAAAAATTATTTGTGTTTTCATTTGCTTTCAAGCTGATGTTAAATTAAGTGAAGATTATTAATTTGTCTTCAGAACATAGAAAAGATATAAATTCAGGTATGTGTAGGTATGATGCAAATTAGTGACAACAGGCATAAATGAGAAACCAGAGCTTGCAAAAGGTTCCTAGGTTCATATTCTTTGATGGTGTGCACTGTTATAGTCACCCGAAATGAGCATATAGCTGACGACAGGGAGGAGAGGGTTGAGTGTGCTATGCTGGTGATGACTTGAAACTGACAATTAGGGGTATTAGGGTAGGAGAGAGGGGAGGGGCAGACCAACAAAAGATCCACACAGAAATACAACAATAAAAATATTGGCGGTAGCGGTACAGACAGAAAACTATAAGCTTTATCAAAGAGGAAAGTCTTAAGCCTACTCTTAAATGTAGAGATGGTGTCTGCCTCCTGAACCCAAACTGGAACCTGGTTCCACAGGAGAGGAGCTTGATAGCTGAATGCTCTGGCTCCTAGTCTACTTTTGGAGACTCTAGGAACCACAAGTAACCCTGCTGTGCAACGAGGAGCTCTGCTTTTTAAGAAGAGATGTAATTACAGCTACTTTAAAGGATAACCTGTTAATGAAGACAGATTGTTCATACAATCTGTCTTTATTAAGAGGCTATGTCGGTGGTGAAGCGTGGGCTTATGCTTAGGGCTATTCCTCTTTCAGACAGTCACTCAGCCAACAGAAGCTACTTGGTCCGCACTGTCTATTGGCAGCTGGCTAATGACTAACAACAAATGTTACATGAACCATTATCACAAAAGAGAAAGAGGCAGAGAGAATAACTAAACATTTGAGAAACAGAGCAACAGAAAACAGGAGAATGAGAGGGAGAGAATGAAGCCATCGCTAGATACTAAGCTAAAGTACGATAGCTAGCAAAACTGAATAGTGTGAAAACAACTGTGAGATTAAGTGAGAGTTGCTAAAAGAATGATAAGTGCTTGAACAGAACTACTGAAGATTAAATGTATAGCGGATAATTAGCTATAATGAAGAATCTAACACATTTCATATGCCAAGTCAAATATGCCAGAGTATCCTCATCGAACTGCTGAAGACGGGCTGTGGCTTTTGAAGGCAACGAAGGATGTTGTTTCGGTAGAAACCACTGAATCCATATTCAGAATGATGTCCATATAATTGTTCATTACCTGCCAGCAGGTGGGAAGTTGTGAATGGAGAGAAAGCATATACAAACTCTGTGGGAGTAAGCTCTCTGGAATGGGTGGATGTTCTCCCTTTGAGGTGAAAGAGTTCGAAAGACAAATGGGAGGATTAGCTGTGGACGAGGGGGATGTTGGCTGGAATGAGTTGAGAGGTAAGACTGGAGTTAATCCGGAAAGAACTTGCTGCTGCAAGGCTGTGGAGGAAAGCTGAGAGCCAGCATCCTAGTGCAGAAGGTTCAAACTGACATGAGTTGCTTGGACTAGTAAAGATTAGTGTGCTGAAGATGCTGAAGATTCTGACATCCCAGTGCCAGCCTGGAGATGGGCTGCAGGGGGTGCTGGTACCCTGGTGCCTAAAGCACCGACTGAAGCAGGCTGCTGTGGTTGCTGGAAGTGGACTGCTGGGAGTGCGCCATCACAGTGCTTTTCATAAAAGAGCAGGTCTAGACCATACTTTATGATGCTATTTACAGAAGCCCAACAGTTCCCACCAAGAGCAGCACTAGGAGACAGAGGCAAGGAAAAACTTCCTTTTAAGAGGCAGAAACCTCGAGCAGAACCATGGCTCAGGGTGGGCGGCCATCGGCCTCGACCGGTTGGGGTGAAGGAGAGAGAGGGAGAGAGAGAGAGAGAGAGGGCAGGAGAGGAACAAAAAAAATAGAGAGGGATGGAAGGAGAGAGAGGGGAGGGAGGCAGCCTACACAATATACACACAGAGGTACAGACTAAATGAAAAATGGTACAGATATTTATAGTAGTGTTAATGATAACAATTGTAAAGATAATGATTATAATAACAATAATAACAATAGGACACATGCTGGGATTGGCATGATTGAGGTGTGGTCATGCTCCTGAGAACTGCTTCAGTATATTTTGGTAAATGAAAATCTTTTGGCTGGTGTAAGGGTAATGATCAAATATGCACAACCTTTCAACATTTGACATGATAATCCAACAGACAAAGGAAGACAGACTGACCTGGGAATAGTGCTCGGCTGATCATGCCTGGCATGACAATGAAGAACATGGGCAGCAGTTTGAGGTAGCCTCCCAACACACTGCCTGCTTTGGCATGAGACAAAGACTTGGCTGACAGAGACCTCTGGACTATAACCTGCACACACACACACACACACACACACACACACACACACATTTTTGTCACTGACCAAATGCATTACTTAGACCCTACCCCTAACCATCACAATTTAATACCTAAGAGATGAGTTTTCAAGACCCTCTCTAACTTCAAGAAGCCCTTGAAAACTCATCTCTTCCGAGAACACTTCCTCTTATAACACCTCTAACTCCTAACCTCTAACATGCACTTCCTGTGCTCTTCTTCTTCTATCCCCTACAATGATCTTGTATAGATTGCACTTTTTGTTTTGATTGCACTCTTACTTCCTTCCCTAGGTATCTACCCCATTGATGTGATATGTACTGTGAGCTCTTACTAGTATTTATTGCTGCTCTTACTAGTATGTATTGTCAGTTGTAGATCTGTAGTTGATGCTCTGTTGATGCTTGTATGTTGTTCCTCAAATGTAAGTCGCTTTGGATAAAAGCGTCTGCCAAATGAGTAAATGTAAATGTAATCCCAACCCTACCCCTAATGTAAAACTAGTCAGTGATTGTAAGCAATATCATTTTATTATTATCATTATTGCATTGCAGACTTTTGTACTTCTATAATCAGCAGAATATATTTTTTACTTTAATGTGGTACAGAACTACTGAAGATTAAAGTATTGGTAAAATGATTTGTTGGGCGGGGATTGGGGATTTAATTATTACTAAGCCGTTTAGCTGTATCAGCTACTAACAGGCTACTTACACTGAATGTCAAACAAAAGATACAGGGCTTAATCTTGCGTCGCTAATTGTGCACAAAGATCACAGTTGGATCGAATTAATCTAGAATGACATCCCCACAGAAACTAAACCAAAATGCTAACTTTTAACTTCTAACTAATCAACTGGCTCAGCACCCCCCTGGCTGCGTGGGCTGTCCCTCTCTCTCTGCTCCTGAGCCAAGGTGACAGTCCACACCTACACCTCATCAGTCACCTCCTCTGCCTTCTACACCTGCCAGCAATCAACTCCTGCCCAATCTCCTCTGCTCCACCTGTTCTTTGGTCCTCTGGGCCTGCGTCCACCTCTCCCTCAACAGCACTCCCTCAGCCCCTTTTCCCTAATAATAAGCATTTATCATGCTGTCGCCTCTCAGGGAGCATTGCTCGGCCAGTACGCTTATCCGATCTGTGTCGGACACGCTTTGTTCCCTGACTGAAGAGGTGCAGCGCTTGGTGCGCGTTCCCCGACCCCTGCAACGTGAAACCTTTGTCTCCGTCTCATTCTCTACCATGCTCTCTGTCGGCTGACGTCGCCCCGTTTCTCATCGCTTCCGCACTTTCCCCTCAGGAGTCTCAGCGTTCTGGGAACTTGCAACGGCGTATTGGTACAGTATACAGTCATTCGCTGAGCCCAGCCCACCAACCCTGACCCTAGCACTGTTCCCCAGAACCGCCTCTATGTCCCATCAAGTGTCCGCAACCAGGTCCTCTAATGGGTGCACGCCTCCAGGTTCAGCTGACACCCCGGGATGTCTCGCACCCTCTTCCTGCTGCGCCAACGGTTCTGGTGGCCCTTTATGGACAAGGACTGTCGGGCCTTCATGGCGGCCTGCGAGATGTGCGCCCACACCAAATCTTCCTATAAACCGCCCGCTGGTCTGCTCCGCCCGCTTCCAGTGCCCAGTTGTCCCTGGTCCCATATCACCCTGGACTCCCCTGCTCAGACAGTCATCCTTACCATCATTGACCGCTTTTCTAAATCTGCCCACTTCATCCCCTTGCCAAAACTGCCCCCAAACTGCAGATGGGCAGTTTCCCTCTGTAAACTGATCATCAATCATCAATCATGTCTTTCGCCTCCATGGAATCCCTTTTGACATTGTTTCTGACCAGGGACCCCAGTTCACATCTCAGGTCTGGAAAGCATTCTGCCGCACCTTCGGTACCACTGCCAGTCTCTCCTCCGGTTATCAATCCCAGACCAACGGGCAGACCGAGCTGGCCAACCAGGACCTGGGGGCGGCACTCAGGTGTGTGGCCTACCGTAGACCCTCCTCTTGGAGCTCCCACATCCCCTGGATAGAGTACGCACACAACTCCCAGGTCAGTGCTGCCACTGGTAAGTCTCCGTTCATGTGTGCTATGCCTTCCTTAATCCCGTCACCTCCTGGACGTGCGACGTAGAGGTCGGGGCTTCTGGTACCTGGTGGACTGGGCCGGTTATGGCCCGGAGGAGCGATCCTGGATCCCCGCCAGCCAGATACTCGACAAATCCCTCCTAACGGACCCATCTTGACAAGACAGGAGGTCCGCCTGGAGGCGTCCGTTGAGGGGGGGGGGCCTGTTGTGGTGGCAGTGGTTTCCTCTGTGTATTGCCTGCCTCTCTGTCCCCATGTAGTCCACATGTAGGGGCGGCTGTCTGCTCCTCCAGTCTGCATGGCGTTGCCCAAGTGTCCATGGGCAAGATACTTAATCCTGAATTGTCCTTGATAGCTGTTCCACCAGTGTATGAATGTGTGTGAATGTTAGTTTCTGTTTGAGCACTTTGGGTGGTCGGAAGATTAGAAAGGCACTATACAAATACAGAGCATGTATTAGTGTAGGTCACCTGATCTGTGCACCAGACCCATGTGGCCAGGACAGTGAGCCCAAACACCAGGCCGGGCCACGGTAAATCCCTAGACAAGGGGTCTCTAAACAAGTGGAAGGCGTCATTACGAGGTAGGTGGCAGGTGGTGTTAGGGACTGTCACCAAGGGAACAGCTGACATATAGCGGTCCACAAGGCCCTCATACCAGCCAACTTTGGAGAATGCTGGAAAATGTACAAACAGACAAACACACTTTACTGTGACACAGGAAAATGGGCAGAATCAATTAATAGTTATTTTCTGTGAGATATTTGATATGAAAATGTTTATTCAACAGTATCTATTATTATTAAATATCGGTAATCATAGGCCAATTTGTAGTTTTAATTTCTAACTAAAAGTCCACACAGAGGACTGAAAATCCTTCAATAGGGTGGTGTGCATCCTACCTATGAACATTAGTGCAAAGGCTCCCCCGACCATGATGAAAGTCTGAAATGCATCAGTGTAGATCACTGCTGCTAAACCACCTACACAAACAGACACACAAACACATACATTTATATTGTTGTGCATATTGTGTGTGAGTATTACGACAATCACACACACACACAGACTTTCATACACTGTAAAATTATCTAGGTGGTTCAACTTAAAAACTTAAGTTCAATTGCTGCCTTAAAAATGTGAGTAAACTTAACTTTAAGAAAAGCTTTGTTTCAACGCATGATGTTACGTTAGACAATTTATTGTTTGAACTTAATACTGTGAGTTAAAACTACTATCTGTATTACATTGTCCATTCACGGAAATTTGCTTTCTCTTGTCAAACAAACATACAATTCTCTACCCTTTCAACTCACATTTTAAGTTCAGATAACTAAATATAAGACATTTCAAGTTAGTTTAACTTGGAAATGCAAGTTAACTTTAAATTCTAAACTCCAAATTTTTGTCAGTTTACATCTATAAAGGGCTTTGAAGACAGACCACGACAACAGCGCTATTATCTTCAGTGACTTGTGACAGGGCAGGGCAGTTTGTTGGTGCGCCTGTGCATGCTGCAGTCAAAGTCAAAACAGTCAAAACAGCATGAGATATCTCCTCCTTTCTGAAAGGGCCTTAAGGCCGTTGTCAGGAACCCTTTCCACCGGTGGCACTAGTCTTGTTTACCACAGAAGTGTCTATATTTTGATTGGAATTTCAATACATGACTTATCTGCAGTGTATAATTTGCAGGGGTGAGCAAGATCTCTATCTGTATCTGTTAAACAAATTAAATTTTCTGTGCTCAGAATGGGTGGGGCTTAATCTTTAAGTGGGCATGATTAACTCTTTGTTTTATTATTTTTCTTTATGGGGCGGCTGTGGCTCAGGAGGTAGAGCGGGTTGGCCGTTAATCGGAAGGTCGGCGGTTCAATCCCTGGCTCCCCCTGGTTGCGTGTCGAAGTGTCCTTGGGCAAGATACTGAACCCCGAATTGCCTGGCGGCTATTCCGCCAGTGTATGAGTGAGTGTGAATGTTAGTTTCCGTTTGAGCACTTAGGCTCAGTGTATGAATGTGTGTGACTGGTGAATGCAGATGTAGTGTAAAAGCGCTTTGAGTGGTCGAAAAGACTAGAAAGGCGCTATACAAGTAATGATTAGTCATTCACGTAAGTCATGTGTGGACCGCACCACATGCTGTATGTGAGCAGCTAACATTTCTGACATTCCCCGTTTGTTTGGGTGAAGTCCGTCTGTCTTAAAAAGAGACATTCTTTGCCAGAAAATATTAAAATTATCCACATAACACACGGTCCAGTTTTAATCCACTCTTTTTCATTACATTTTTTATATCCTTTTTATTTAACTTAAGTTTTTAACTTAAGGCTTGGATGGGGCTGCCTCTCCTCCGCACATCGGCCTCTCCAACCGCTATGCAGCCTTGTCTGACGACACTCTGGTCCATCCAGCGGATGCACCTGTGGCTTCAAGTCTCCCTGATACGGATCTCTTTCGGCGGACAGTGCCTGCCGACATTGTTGCATCTCCTTCACCGGCTACAACTCCCACACTGGGCCGCTGGTCTGCCGCTGGGCCTGATCGGCGGCCTTCATCCTGGTCAAAAACCTTCGCTTCCCGACGTAGGATCCTGAAGGAGGCTGTGCTCAGACGCTCCGGAGGCCGTCTCTACCCTGCACCGTCAGGTAGCCCTTCTCTCAGGTATGTTACTGCTACTCCAACACAACACTCGGCAGCTCACACACTCCATCCTCAGTCCGCACGCAGTGTTGAAGCAGATTCTGCTCAGTCCTGCTCTGGAACCCCACAACCGGCATCTCCTCGTCCCCTTTTCTCCCCAACCACACTAATAATTGGTGACTCCATAACCAGAAACATCCGTTTCTTTAACGCTACCACTCACTGCTTCCCCGGTGCCACCACGGCTGACATTTAAAAAAAACTCCAGGACCTAATGCCATCGCTCCCGTCCTCCATCACAAGAGTGATAGTCCATGTCGAAACAAATGACACAGCTCTTCAGCAGTCTGAGCTGACAAAATCAGATTTTAACCGTCTTTTTAAAGCAGTGTGTTTTTATCTCTGGTCCCATTCAGTTGGTTGCAGCCACTTCAGTAGACTCCTTGGCCTCCACGACTGGCTCCAGTCCGCCTGCAGGGCTCACCGTGTGTTATGTGGATAATTTTAATATTTTCTGGCAAAGAATGTCTCTTTTTAAGACAGACGCTCAAACAGAAACTAGCATTCACACTCATGGAATAGCCGCCAGGGGCAAATCGGGGTTCAGTATCTTGCCCAAGGACACTTCGACACGCAACCAGGGGGAGCCTGGGATTGAACCACCGACCTTCCGATTAACGGCCAACCCGCTCTACCTCCTGAGCCACAGCCGCCCCATAACTCGATTCAGGCAAAGCCTTTAAACATTTAAGTTGACGTTTACTAACTGGCTATATTAGAAGATTAGTGTATAGAGATAATGCATGAAATTGCATGCAATTCATGCAGCACACCTGGACACACCGCTCACTGAACAGATCTCTGCCTCACTGCCACAAACAACTGTCTCCACCTGCTGGCATGTAAAGCCATCTGCTCCCAGCGTTGTTCCAAAGACTTCTATTCCTGTCATCATCACGCATAGACCAGTAAACTGAAATGTGCACATCCCACACAGCAATCATAGTAATCTCTTAAGGATTAGAACAACTGCACCAACTCCAGCACCTAGAACAAACACTTTTAAAATGGCTCTCTTCAATGTGAGAGACAGTCAAGTAAGACTTTTATCTTAAATGATTTTATCTTGTCTGCAAATCTAGATTTTATGTTTTTAACTGAATCCTGGTTGCAGATGAATGACTATAGCCAGCTAGCTGAACTGTGTCCGCCTCAATATGATTGTTTTAGTCAACCAAGGGTCAGTGGTCGTGGTGGTGGGCTAGTGAGCGTGTATAGGAAATATTTAAAATGTCATCAAGTACGCTGTGATGAATTTAACTCCTTGGAAGTTCTCACTCTTAAAGTTGGAGGGCTGCAACCTATCATATTTGTTATAATTTATCGCCCCCCTAAACCGCCTGGAGGATTTTTATCTACTCTGGTTTTAAATTATGACAGAATTGTTCTTTGTGGCGATTTTAATATTCATGTTGATGACCCCACCAATGTTAATGCAACTGACTTTTTAAATATGGCCACTTCTTTTAACTTCAAACAATATGGGCAAACCCATAACCGTGGTCATACACTGGACTTGACTGGGTGTCAGCGTCTCCTCTGTGGAATTGGTGGACATGACCGTATCTGACCACAGATGTATTGTTTTTAGCTGCGATTCGCCTGTTACTCATGCTGCCTCACCAAGCTCTGTGTGTCTGAAGGAAAAGTCTGAAGGATTTATTAATTAACTACAATAACATGGTTAAGGATGCGAGAACACACTATTTTTCTGAACTCATTACTACACATAAACACAATCCCAGGTTTCTGTTTAAGACTGTGGATCAGCTGGTAAACCCAACCCCTCCTTGTGCCTCAGCTGGAAGTAATGATGGCTGTGAATAGTTTTTATCTTATTTTACCAATAAGGTGGTGTCAATCAGAGCCTCTATTACCCCTGCGGCCTCTTACTCAGAGGTTCCTCACCAGCAACAAGAGAGTTTTAACCAGTTTTATCCCATTGACTTGTCTGAGCTTTTAAAAACAGTATCACAAATGAGAGTGTCCTCCAGCCCACTTGATGTAATACCTACAAAGTTTTTACTGAAAGTAATAGATTCTGTTGGGCCCCAAGTACATCTACAAGACTCTCCTATCAAAGTATGTTTTAAGAAGGGACTTAAAAGAGCTCAGTGACTCAGCTGACCTGATTTCCTCGGGCAGGCTGTTCCAGAGCCTCGTGCTGGTTTGTATGGGACTAAAAGTTCAGAAATATAACAAGGCGAGAGGCCATGAAGAGCTTTAAAAGTGGTCAATAAAATTTTAAAGTCAATTCTAAAACATACTGGGAGCCAGTGTAATGAAGCTAAAACAGGGGTAATGTGGTCATATTTCTTTGTTCTGGTTAAAAGCCTGGCAGCTGAGTTCTGGACAGTCTGGAGTCGATCAATAGATTTTTGGGTTAAACAGGTGAAAAGGCTGTTGCAATAATCCGGCGTGATGAGATGAAGGTGTGTAAAATGGTCCCGGTGTCCTTAAAAGTTTACATAGATCGAATTTTTGCTATATTTCTAAATTGATAAAAACATGATTGAACAAGCTTTGTGGGTGCTCCTCAAAATTTAAATTACTATCAAACCAAACACCAAGGTTTTTTGCAACAGGCTTCCTCTGTATGAAGGTAAGCCTTGTATTCACTTACCAACTGGAGCATATGCTTCTTGGAAGATCTCTTAGTACAATTAACTGCATAGTAAGACATCATCTGTCAGGTATTTGCATGAAAAATCTCCTAAAGGCACAACAGGGTGGTGGCCAAGTTCCGTGACTGGAATTAGCAGAGGGAGGCTGCCTTGAACACTTCTATGATTGATTAGTTGGACTTAGTGGGCAGGCCAAAACACATTGATTGACAGGTTGGGCTCGCAAATGCAAATGTAATGTAAATGCTCTGTATTTGTATAGCGCCTTTCTAGTCTTTTCGACCACTCAAAGCACTTTTACACTACATCTGCATTCACCATTCACACACATTCATACACTGGTGGAGCAGCCGCCAGGGGCAATTCGGGGTTCATTATCTTGCCCAAGGACACTTCGACATGCAGCCTGGAGGAGCTGGGGATTGAACCGCCGACCTTAACGGGCAACCCTCTCTACCTTCTGAGTCACAGCCGCCCCAAAGGAAAGGCAATGACAATAAGTCTCTTAAGGGAATGGCAATGACAACAGGTTTTGTGAGGAAGAGGCAAAAACAAATGTATGTATTTAGTCTTTAATTAATTTATTCTTTCTTTCTGATATTTCCACATTTATTTATTTATTCTTTTATTCATTCATTCTTTCTTATATTTCTGCATTTATTT